GATAAAAGCCCACATAAATCAAAATTAATTATTTCCAACTATCTTATTGTAAACAAATTTTTTATTTTAGGAATATGTTCCTATATAACAGGCCATATAAATCTGAATAAACTATTTTCAATTATTTATATAATAGAATTTCAAGTTGAATAGTATAATGTATCCTAAATCCGTAAATTTTTCAACTAGTAGTAAATTTATTTTGGTGCCAAGAACATAAAGAATGTTTTTTTATTTATTTTATTTTTTCAAATGAATTTTGAAGAAATATATTTTTTAATCTAAATATAAGAAGGATTTTTTTTTCTAATAATTTTAATATTAGAAATATTATATTCTTTTATTCTTGATAGCAATTGTTTATTTCCAATTCCAAGTAAACTTGCTCTAGAGTCTAAAAACCATTTGTTATCAAAGTCAAATGCATTAAAATTTATATATTCATTGTAGCTTTAATTGAAGGATCTATTTAATAGCCTTCTTTATTATCATCTTTTATTATATTGATAAGTTTTTTTTTTTTTTTTTTTTTTTTTTTAAATTTTAATAGTTATAATTGTAATTGTTTAATTTCATTCTCTAAGTTCTTGACATCACATTCTCGAAAAAAATGGCCTAGTCTACCACATTTGTGACAAATGATGTATTGTTTTGATTCTTTTTTTAACTTAACTACTTTGTTATTTATTGCAAATAGATGATGATTGTATCTTCTTTTTTAATGATGATGTCTAAAAGAGAATCTTTTAAAATATTCATGAAGACTTTTTTTTTTGGATTAAAAGTTACAAAAATGTCTTTTTGTGTATAATATCTCTTCTTTATTATCTTTTTTTTTTGAATTAATGAAAAATTTATTTTTATAATAGTAATCATTTTAATTTTAAAAAAATAGGTAATGTAAGTTTCTCTTTTTGAATTTGCTTAAAGATAGACCAACTCTTTAGTAGACCATTTAGAATTAAAGAAAAAATATTTTTATTGTATATATCAACATCTATTCTAGCTAATTGAATATGTAGTAAATTATTTGTTTGCAAAAAATTACCTAAATTATTCTTTTTTGATAAAAAAAAATAAATACAATTTTTTCCTCAACACAAGTCTTTTATTTATATTTTGTACATTATATAACATTTTTAATTATTTCCAATTAGCTTGAGATTTAAGAATACCAATAACATGAAGGATAATGGATTTTCATACTATAGAAGTGATAATATGGCAAGCTCTAATATGATCTTGAATAATATAAACTATTGTATTTGTGTTGGTATGATCTTGTCATCTTGTGGTAGAATTTATATGTACATCTATGCCAATGGATGAACTTGTTAACTCTTTATTATTGATAGAAATAAATGTAAATATTTCAATCAACTTCTATAAATTTTCTTGCATCAAGATTATCTAAACTTTATAGCTCTATAATATGTAGTTAGGTACTCTTTCAAATTTCATAGAATTATTGAAGACTTTTACAAGTAGATTTATAATTCTATACTATAGATAGTATATATAAAGAAAATCTTAGGGAGAACAAACTTGGTCTACTCTCTTTGAGCAACCATGTCTATTCAAAAAGTAAAAAATTTTACAATATTTTTTTAAAAGCTTAACTTTGATACCATGTTAATATTCAATTTGTGCATTCTAAAGTACTATATATGTTATAATAATGTGAATTAAAGAATATATATACCTAAAATAGATATAAATTTGATGATATAGAAATTAGATATGTTTATTCATCTAAAAAAAATAAAGCCTCAATAATTAGATAAAATCCTAATTAATTGATGATTGATAGTACCATCAATGAACTTTCATCTTAAATAGATGAAGATTGAATATGTAGTGCTAATATCACCAACATTGTTGTAAGAGTATAGAATGTCATAGATGCTCTAAGGTATTAGTCAAAATTGGCTCTATCTCATCATGCCAAGCATAATCACTATGACAAGATCTTCGTAGAGAATTAAATTGCTTCCAAAGAATAGAACACAATGTAAGTTATAGACAATTTTGAAAGAATAGGTCTTAGCTTTGGATCCTTTTATAGACTGCAAACTTGATGCAATACATTGGGAGAATAGAGTCTCTAAGAATGCATATTAAAGAATTCTCTCCTTAATCATAATTAATGTTAAAGTAAAAAATTAAGAATGGTTCCAAATCCCTCTTTGAAATGCAACCAAAGTGCTTCTTATGACTCCTCATTCAAGAGCTGGTGTGAAATCTTTCTTTAAAATGTGACCAAAGTGCTTCTTATGATCCCTCATTCAAGAGCTAATTCCAAATCCTTCTTTGAAATGCAACCAAAGTACTTTTTATGACCCCTCATTCAAGAATTGGTTCCATATCCCTCTTTAAAATGCAACCAAAGTACTTCTTATGATCTCTCATCCAAAAGCTTGTGAGATAGGATGCAAGATCACTACAGCTGGAGTTTGAATGTGTAGTAATGTTATCATAATTCTATAGTGGAGCTTCATGCATTCTAGTATTTGGAGTGGTGTAAGCATGTAGTCTTTTGGCAATTCAGATTGTCGTTTGTGATGGAGCCTTGTTAACACTGGGGTCATTTCATAATTCACTATTTTGTACTCCATAGACCCAATTGTTTATTTTTTGCCAATAATTTTTTTCAAAAGTCAATTTTATTGTACATTCTATTTTTTCTTCTTTTAAAAAAAATTATTTTTATTAATATTATTTTTTTTACTTTATTTATTTATTTTTCCTATATTTATTTCTTTGTTTATGGAATTTTGAAATTTTGAATTGATGTCATTGAAATTTTGCAATCATTCAACAATGCCAATTCATCCTACCATATTTTAAAAAGATTAGACAAAGTTTCCTAGTTTAGATGCTTAGAACTCTTGTCAAATTTTTTGGTGGTAAAAAAAAAATAAAAGAATGATTCTATTTGAATGCTATACTATCTGTAAATTTAGATGCTAATCATTGCAATATTTCTCATCTTTAATGATGACAATTTGTATGCAAAATAAAACAACATTCGTTACTTTTTGAAGGAGAGGGGGAGGAGGAGAGAGAAAGCAAGGATTTGTGTTTGTGTCAAATATATGCATTTAACATTGGTGGTGTATAATTCACTCATATAAAAGTTTAAGTATTATTTGTGATTTTTTTTTAAGAAATAAATAATGTATAACATTTTGACTATAGTATATGCTTCAAACTCATTTATGATAGTATAATCTTAAGTTGGAGATTAATGCACATTATTTTTGCTTGTATCAAAATCAAGGTTGAAGGAATTTGGAAATATGCCTTAAACATGAAAGTCGTCCATACATATTACAAGGTCTATACAAAAATAATTTAATTTGCAAGAAATTTAACACCAATTTAATTATTAAACCAAAAATTTAATTTGGATCTTTCTAAATGCTGACCAAATTTTTAAACGAAAAATAAAATAAAATAAAATCATGCTCATAAATAAAAAAAAATTCAACCAATAATTAGTTTAATGAAAAATGACAATGAACTTTGTAAGACATGTTGATATGGTTGTTTAGTTATTACAGTAATAATAATAATAATAATTATGACAATAACAATCATCATCACCATCATCACCATTCTCTTCTTCAGAATTTAGGGCAAACTAATATTATTAACTCAGTGATTATTTTCTATCTTATTACAATTTTTTATAGTAATGACTGAAAAATTATTTAATATAAAATTTTATTTTACTTTTATTATCAGTTCAAACATAGCATTGCAAATAATTTGACATATAATACACAAAACATTAATATAATATATAATGTAATAATAATGATATAAAATTCAAGTGTTTAAAAATTTATAATTTATATGAAAAACTATATCTTGTGTGATCATGTTGAAAAAATACAACTGATAATAAATGTTATATAATTCATTTATCACAGCAACAAATTTGTTCACAAAATTCCTAAACACAACTATCTCAAGTGAGAGGGTAAAAATTATATATAATTGATGAGCATGTAATGGTACAATTGATGCAGTCCTCTTGTGGTTTTGTGCAAATGTTGACTGGAAGAAAACAGAAAGTGTAGAAAATGATGTTTCAATATCCAAAGCTGGGCACACCTAGAAACCTACAGGTCTCTCTCTCTCATGTTTTATTTCCCATGTGTCTAAAGAAATAGAAAGTTGCTTTATTGAAGCTGCAGCCAAAGACAAAGTCCTTGTGAGCTCAGTGGCAAAAAACCAAGCCCAATTTGCTCATGGCTTATCACATTGTGGTGGTGGTTTCAAGGAAAATTTTGAAGCATTGTTACCTTGGAAGTTGCCCACTTTTGGTTTTCCAAAAGCTAACACAGGCTTTCAGGCATGTGTAGGGTTTTGATGGTTTGCCCACTAGCCCTGAATTCCTGTTCAAGTGGACTGAGTTTCTTGTGTATAGTATGCTTTTTGATTCATCCAAAATTTGTCTAAATCAAGTTAGGTGAGGACTTCTGCTTGGGGCCCATTTTTCCAGCAACATAAAAGGTTGAGAGGGACCCAGTTAGTTTGAGAGTCATGCTTGAATATGGGTTTTCAAAAAAATTACACTGAATCTATTTTTGGGCTTGTAGATCCAAAATCAGTTTTAAAAAAATCCATCTGCAGTGTAGCATCCAATTACTATGATTTCAATTTCTCGAGGCATGATACCAATACATGACTGACAAAAGAAAATTGGACTAACAGGAGAAATCGAGCAGGAGGGAAGACATCGATCTTTGATGGAAATATTTCCACCTTACTCCCCGGTATAGATTGGCGAAAAATCATGAGCAGCTGTGGTTTGTTGTTTGTCGCTACCATCTTTGCCAATATTGACCTGAAGCATGGAACTTCGTTTATGACATTCATTGCAATGCTCGTGCATTTGTTTGGGGGTTTGATCCACAATTGTCAACGATGCAGTAGAAACGTTTATGAACTCCCAATTTGGGATTTCCCGGAAAAGCAGAAACTGCGGGTTGTAAGTCTTGAACAGCACAGATACGCAGGCTGATACATTACATCGCCAGTGCAGAGCTGTCCTGCTAGACCCTCCAAAGTACACTGTTCAGGCCGAGTAAGACATAGCACGGACTTGTTCACATGGCACTCTCAGTTTGTGTATCTATGTCAGGAAGAAAGGGAACCTTTCTTCGTCAGAACCCAAAGTCGATACAATGATTTCTTCAGTACTAAGTGTTTCCAAAAACTTAGCGCTGTTGTAATTTGTAACACCTCAATACATCTTTGGCTCTCAAGCAAGTACACTATCTGTCAGCATGTTGCTGCAGGGGGACATCAAATCATTGGGAAGTCATTAAGCGGTTTCATGTTCCAGCTTACTACCATGTGAGGAGGTAAAGGAGCAATAATTTCTAATGGTTCTGCAAACTGGCTTCCACTGACTCTAGCACCTGTCTGAGCAGATGACCGCTCTCTAGATTGGCTTTTAAACGCTTGTGCAACGTCTGGAAGTATTAGCTGACGACAGTGGAGATGTAAATAAGGCTTACTTGACCAGACATGACCACTTTCCCTTAATCCCAAGACAGAAGACTTGGTGTCCTCAGTACGATCGGTTGGAGGCCACAATCGAAGAGCCCGCCAACCATACTTATAGTCGCCTACTATTGGCATGCCCAGCACTTCCGCGCAGTGGACGCGAATCTGGAAAGAACAAATAGATTTTCATTAGAACGGAGTCTAAAGTGCCTACTTACTATTCAACTTAGAATCCAGGAAAACAGAATTGTAGCATTAGGATGGAGGGTTTTGTCCAATGCCAGCAAACAGGATGAGACATCTCTGAGCTACACAGCGAGGCTCTGCTGGGGTATCTCTTGTCAGTAATTGCACGCAGCAGCTGAACATCTTAGATCTCACGTTGGACTGTCGAGAATGATCCATATGAACAGTGCAATCATAAAGATCAAGAGAACAGAAGGTTGTTGCCTTTGGTGAAAGAGTCAAGAGAAGTAATGCTTACCTGGTGTTTGCGCCCAGTCAAAGGACGAAGCTCCAACCATGAACAGCCTGCTAAGTCGCAAATATCAAGCTTGAGATCACGTGAATTCTAAAAGCCTTAGAACGAAATCAGAACCAGACGAATGTGGGCAAGTCGCAAAGAGTTTCCATAAAAAGTAGAGAAGTAGTATAGCTTACCAAAAAGAGAAGATCCCAAAACTTTGTAGTCTGTAATGGCTTCTTGAGCGTTTGGGTGACTTCCATGGACTACCCGCATTTTATCAAGTTTGCCACTGTCCGAGACTACCTGAGCGTAGGAACAACGAGTTTTGTTCAGCCACAGCTTGTATTCAATGCTGTTGAAACAACCAAAGAATGGGAGCCGGAGAATTTTGACCTAAAAGAATAATATCATCAAGGATGTTCCCAGCATCCAAAATTCAAAGGTGACAGAAAGTTACACAATGAATCCCAAACACACACACCAAACCTTTGCAAGTGGTGCTGATATTCGGCCTTCTTTTTTCTCAGGAACTCCGATCACTAAAGCCAAATAACATCGCTCGACACTAACTACTTTGCCCTACACAACCGTTCAAGACAAAACCATTCGTCAGAACTAATTTTCATGGTGACTATGTACAGTGTCAGCATCACAATGAATCAGGTACTCCAAAAATATTCTTATCACTCAAGGGCAAGAGAGACTAGTCAGAACAAGGATAGAAAATGCTCAGAAGAAATACCCCAGGAGCTTGAGATATCTTTTCTGTTTTGTTCCGTAACAAAGCTTGCAAAAAGACGGTACTTTGGTGGGTACGTCCAAGGACCAATGCTCCACTGGTTTCTTTATCCAGCCTATGAACCTGCAGTCAACCCAAGTATGGTATGTACGTAACACATCTAATAAAAAGACTATTAAACTTGACTAAAAGCTCGATTGGTTGCAGTGTAAAGTGAGGGGCAATTGAACTGCTGTGGAAAATGTTCATTTAAGTCTCTCGCATGTTGCTCCACAATCAAAGAATAAGTTGGTACGTATATACCAGCCGAGGTCCTTCGTTGTAGTTGTAAGAAAGAGCAGCTTCCATCATCGAGTCCAGACTTTTCACCACATCACTGCCACCCTTTTCACATGGACACCAAGAGTCTTATTAAACAAATACAGACAACACCACAAGCCTAACAAAAGCCAGTTCAGTGATTGTCTGGGATGCTTCATTCTTCTATTAGTCAAAATTTTCCTTTTATCTATCTATCACCAAAAATCAGAGAGAATTCCTCTAAGGTTCCCACTCTCTCAAACTTCATGCAAAAAGACTTACCTGAACAGCTAGTCCACTTGGCTTGTTAATGACTATTATCTCGGCATCCTGTTCACTTTTGTGCCACGGATATTGCAATCAGTACACGCCATAATCTTGTTACTGGTCTGTAACATATTAAGTTGTTAAGTGACTAAGATTCATTGATAACAAAGATGAGCCAGTCTGGAACATTTATTCAATGCGGTGCACTCAATGCTTTACGCCGTTAAAATAGTTGTAGGTTCGCAAGAAATGCTCTCAGAAAAGAGACACTCAAAGGACATGTTAAGGGACAAACATAGAGGAAGAAAACTAAATGCTCTGTGGAGGGTCATGCCTTGTGAAGAATTGTACTGCGCAAATACTTTATATCATGGAGAGCTATTTTTGGAACGTTTGTTGCTGAATTCGTTTCATATAAACTTTCAGAAACGGCTGCCGGTATACAGAGCACTGCGCCCTCTTGAAGTGTATCTTTTGCTGAAATCTGCAAAAAGGCAATTCGATATAAATATATACCAACTCTAGCAAAGGCTAGGTTTTGATTATTTACCTCAGCCGAAATGAAACTTAAGGGATGATTCACCAATGTGAGAGGAACAGGCACCCATGACGCTAGAGAAATCCTTAGCAGCCAATCAAGGCACCGTTGTGGCACTCAATACAAGATTATTAATTACCTTTCTAAGCCGTGTGTCCTTAGGTTTCTCAACTCCGTCACTGGAAGAAATCTCTTGAGGTGCCTGTATTCGAATCTGGTAGAGAAGGTAGACAGGCCACCTGTTTTCTAAGCATATCATTGGCACCACGCACAAACCTCTCTTTCATGCTTTAGATTACAGCATAGCAATTCAGGGCAAAATAATCGTGTCATAAAACTTCACAAGTAACACTAATTTTGACCACTTCATGTATCCCTTTCCCTCCCTTCCGATAGCTTTTCCAAAAGACTTTTCACAAGGGCTTCTAGGATCCAGCATGGTATACAAGATAATCTACTATGTAAATCGCCATGTCTCAGAATCTTAGAAGTGGGTACTGTATTTCGATAAATATGTTATCAGCAAGCTTGAAAGATGAGGACCATACCTGCCGCAAACGAAAGAGCTTGTTGAGCAAGCTGTGAGGGACGTTGGGACAGCACTTGGCAACCCATCGTAGCGCCGTTAGCCTCTTCAATTTATTGTGACCACTCTCGGATCCTTCATTGTAACCTGGCGAACGAATCATAATGAAGAGCCTAAAGTCAAATTTTTAGAAGCACCCATGATTCTTGCAATTACTGTTAGAGGCGAGACAGATCCTGTGAAGATGAAGTTCTCAAACTGCGACAATGGCTCTTCCTTTGGCGTCAGATGCGGGCATCAAATTTCCTATTCATCTTCCCGTAAGGCAAATGCAAAGGGGAGCAAGGATCAACGTGCAATTCGCAGCTGATCACAGTTAATTCAGGACATGATCAATAGCAAGGAAATGATTGCGTACTTCCAATCTTTTCTAAAACACGGACCGCTGATTCCAATGGAACCGGAGGTAGCTCCTTCCATTGCAGTCTCGGAGCCTTGACATCCTCATGTTTTCCAGTTGAGTCAATCTCACTTACATCCCCAACTAAGGAACGCAAATGCGCTTGCCTCACAAAACCCCACCAATCCCGAACACCATTGTCAAGTACGGTCGTTCGGGGAGCACAGGTTAAAATGCGCCTCAATGATGCAACACCAGGCGCTGCCATTCTAATAGGATATTTTAGACGCCCATGCGTGCAAGAAATCTACAACATTAACTTACGGTCGCTGCCTTCAAAATTGTCCAACCTTGAGGTCGGACATAACCCAACTTCCAAATCTCATGAGACGACCAACATGCGTCTCAAAACATTAATGACATTATAAACATGCACACAATGGGCACATAAACGTTCCTACGATATCAGTTTCTTTCACTACTATCGTCAGAAACTCTCTCTTCAAACTAGCATAGAGTGATATTCGTCCTATTGCAACGTAATGTTCCAGATCTAAATTCATTAAACACCTTCCGGGAAATCTGTCCTGTCCCTTGTGTTTTGGTTAACGTATTGGGGCTGGTGGCCAATAGGCTTAAACCCTAAAACCCTAGAACCGGCCAGTTGAGAACAGACCACCAGTTTCGTCTGTCGCGTTTTAAACCAGATGTCCTTCCGCCGACGTCACTTCCACGCTCTGGCAATGACAGATAACCGGAGCACGGTGATGTGCCACTGACCCTTTTATTCATGACGTGTAGTAGTAGAAAATATGAAAAAATCATTATATTCTATCATTTTCTTCATAGTCTTACCATATGGGATGATTGTCGTTCTTTGATATGGAGTTTCATGAAACTTTGAGAATTAAGAAGGTTGTGTTTTCTCCCCGAGAAAATGGCAGAGCACGCCCGTTGTGTGCTACCATGTGGCGATTGATCGAGATGATGATTGGGTTGTTACGGAGGTGATCCAATCAACGTTTCATACATTAGGTCACGCTGACCAGACATGACAGGCAAAGTTTTGCAATTTCTCTCAAAAAGGAGAGCATTCTGTGGATCTTTCGAAATTCTTGTCATGAAGCCGGGTTTTAATATCTAGTGGTCCTTGTAACCTTTGTAAGAGATTCGTGGATGGCAGAATTCTGCTTCTGAGGAGCTCTTAGTGTGTCGTAAGCAAGAGTACTTCATATGTTGATGCTCAAAGTCTATGATCCAGAGGCTAATTCAACATTCCAATTAATTCACTTCTTTCTGCCGAAAATTCTATTACGGTTGCTTGTTGGGGAAGCTGAATTCTGCCATCTGGGTCTACCGCAGACACGACATTACTCTCTTCTGGCGGGAGCAAACTGTGGCTAGGCTTAGTGCCGGGCCAATCCCTGTGAGCTGGGATGCACCCAGTGTCAGGACGATGCCGATTTTGGTTAACTCTCTTCCATGTCCACCAGAAATCTCTGTTCGCGAATTCTCCGTCGAATCTCAATGCTCACAATGTAGCCGATCATGTGAGACATTTGGCCTCTGTATCTGGTACACTCTTTCTCCCGCACTAATTTCCACTTTCAAACGAACACTTCTTAACAGTTCGAAATGTAGATTAAATCTCGACTTTGATAACTCAAAGTTTAATGGTTTCTCTGTGCAAATAATATTAATTTACCGTCTGCAAGCTACACAATGAGCAAGATCCTTTATATCGATCGTTCGCTGTTTAACTGTCAAGGTCATCATTCATTTGCACGTCATTGTGTAAAGAATCTTGAGTATCTCCTGGTGATTAGTATGTTCCAGATTGCTAGGGTTCTGATAAAGTGTCTCTACACAGGAGGTGAATCGACGAGGAAATGTGCAGAAAAAGCGTTAGATGTGCTGAAGGTGGGCTTCAGTATTACCAAGTCGCACGAAGAAATAGCCATAGCTGATGAGCGGAAGAATCACACCTATGGAGAGATTTTGCACTCCAGTTTTCAGCTCTCTTTACTGCTACGGTCACTGTTCCGTGAGGAGAGGCTGTTGTCGGTTTCAAATGCGTCTAACAAAGCCGATGGAGCTGGGGGTAACGATGCACAGCAAGAAGCATCTAAAACTCTTGCGGTATGTTTTCTTTTTGCTGAACTGATCAACTTTTTAGGTCTTACTTAATGCTATGTTAAGGATCTTTACAGTTCTATGATTTTCCAGCAACGTTCTTGCAGCTGTGTATAAACGTTTTCATGTGCATTACCCTCTGAATTGGCTACCATACGTTGATTTAGCAATCAAAGTTGGTGGTTGATCTCTTACCGCTATCAACTTATGAGCTGACTGATCAGGTGTACATGGAAATTGCTGCTAAGAATGAAGTGGTGGTGGTGGCTACTGAGAGAGCCAAGAATGTGAACATCTTGGAGGGTGCTCGTGTAGGCATCATGGGAAAACCCTGTGCTGAATTTGTAGCTGGGATGTGGGGTACCTGGCTTAGTGGAGCTGTGGCGGTACCTCTGGCACTAAACCACCCAGAAGCTGAGTTACTTCATGTCCTTTCTGATGCGGTACACAGAACACTCTATGTCTCTCCGTTCAAGCATCACATCATCATGCACATGCTTTTTCATTCATTTATTTATTATTTATTTTTTGTTTTAGTTTTTGTGGACAAGTTTGAATCTTAGAATTTTTTTGCACATTTTCATGCCCTGATACTGCCTTCTTTTATCAATCTTTGAAATAATCAACATTTTCGTGGGTGGCCGTATAGGGTGTCTCTATCGTCTTAGCCACTGAGGATTATCGGGACCTCCTTGAACCGGTGGTCAAAAAGTGTTGTGCTCGTTTGTACTTGCTCCCGTCAGCAACTAGTTTTCACAGCAACCTGTCTAATACACAAGAACATGGGCTCCTATCTATTGAGCAAATGGAGCGAGAGATTCAAAAGGTGTCTTCTATCATTCGAGGTACTTCAGAATATACACCTGATTTGCAACTTAAGATTTTTTACTTGTTCGACCATAATTATTCCGTGTATTGTGGTATAGATCTACGGATTTAAAATTCCCTTCGATAAGAATGTAAAAGTTCGTTGCCGTGAACTGGCTTGAGACAGTGTTACTTGGACCACTCCATCTAATATGCTTTTAGATGTGTAATATAATGTCATTAGTTGAGGTATCATAAGAGTGAGAAATCCGTGCCGACAGGTCTTAAACGTTTCAACTTAGTTGTCAAGTAGTGCTCTATGGATTAAGTTGTGATAGGAGGAGGCAACACTACGTTTTGGTTACGCTAATGGGTTGCTTAAGCTGTTATCACAATCTACACAAACACTTGTTGCTTTGTTTCTGAGTACCGACTCAATTTTGTGTGAAAATATGGTTCTTCTAGGCTAAGATAGACCTGGTTTCGTGTTTGAGCAGGGGAGCAGGCAGCACTAATCATTTATACGAGTGGGACTACTGGAAAGCCGAAAGGAGTTGTTCATACGCATGCCAGTATTGGAGCTCAGGTAATCAGAGTCCCCTTGCTTGCAATATTATGCCTCCTGCTTCATGATGATTCGAGCTGCATTCTTAGTTTTATCAGTCATTGCTATGTTCATTCTTGCAAGGTGGATTTAGTTCTGGTGTGCTAGGATGGCAACAGATATTTGGATTGATGGAGATCAAATATACCATTAGTCTTATTGTGGTTTAGTACACTTGTAAATAGGCTAATTATCCGCCTCTTGTTTCTGTAGCATTAAAACATCCTGGTGTATGCAGGTGAAAATGCTGGCAAAAGCGTGGGAATATTCTCCCAAGGATCGGTTTCTTCATTGTCTCCCTTTGCATCATATCCTCTACAATTTCATTATACAAAAATGTTCATTTGTATATTTCTCTTGAATTCAATCCAAGGTGTCATACATTAGCTTGGAATTTTAGAGAACTTGTCTTTCTGAATCTATTTCAGTCTTTTGCAACGAGCCTCTATTCTCCAAATATTATTCAAAAGTTTTGCAAGGGAATTTTTGTAAATAGAATGTAATGAGAATTCTTGCGCCTAAAATTTAAAAATAGTCATAGAGCGATTTTTGGGACCTAGATGATGGGTAAAGAGTTTCTTACTTTCTTTTCATGCTTTACTGATTGTTATCAAGCTGAAAGTACCAAACCTCCTGCTTTATAGTGATCCTTGACACCCTTCAGTTTACATGTGCATGGGTTGGTCAACATTTTGCTTGCGCCTTTGTTCGTAGGTGCTACGGTAAACTTCGTACTCTTTTTCAATCAACACTTTGTTATTTCAAATGGTCACTTGACAAGCGTAACAAGTCCGCTAATTATGGTTTTGTGAGATTCACGTTAGACTCCTGATTTCAAGTTGATAATCCTTATCACTTATTTCAATACCTGCAGGTTGAATTTTTGCCCAAGTTTAGCACACAGCAAGTGTGGCGCAGGTGGCAAGAATCGTATTCGAACCCAGAGACGCCAGCTAATGATGCTGTGACGGTTTTCAGCGGGGTCGGCTTTCTTCTTTTCCTCCGTCTTTAGCATAATATTTGTTTCGATGATTTCTCCTAATGATCTTGTTCGCATATGTCTCTGATATATCTCATCAACACACAGCCAATTGTGTAGAAATTGTTCGTTTGACTGTCTGTTGATCTGTTAATCGCTTTTGCCAAATTTGTCAGTGGCTGTGGTTGATCAGTTGTGGTGTACAGCAAGTCAAAGGTAAGAGATGACATACCTTCTCAAAATTTTATTTGTAATCAGGTGCCAACTATATATGCACGTCTTCTGCAAGCCTATGAACTCATGGATGGAGACTTTCAGAAGTCATGCTCCTTGGCTGCAAAGAATTTGCGCCTCATGGTATTTCTTTGCAAAACTCATTAAAAAATTCTCCTTCTCCGCAAACAGCCCCGCACACTTCCTCCCTCTCCTCCCTCTTCCTCCCTCTTCCTCCACACGCACTCTCATACACACGTACGCCTCGTTTTCTTCCGCTTCTACTTTTCTCATTCTTCTTTGGAATCTGAGATTCGTAACAGGCAGACTAAGAATGTTGTGGAGAACATGCTCTCATGCTTCAATATAGTCACGTTGGCTGATGGGTGTCAGATGTGTGGATCGTCGGCCCTGCCGCAACCAGTGATGGAAAAGTGGGAAAAGGTGACAAGTCATCGTCTTCTTGAAAGATACGGGATGACAGAGGTGTGGATACATTTTGACTGGATTGCTTGTTATACTTATAAGATTTCTCTTGATCGATGTTGCTTCCTGTGCGTTTCACAACGCAACAAACGGTTGACATGTTTCTCTTGGGCTTGCATCAGTGTAATAACTTATTGAAGTTTATTGGTTTGCTTGATTTCCAGTTTGGTATGGGACTGTCCAACCCTCTCCATGGTGACAGAAAGCCAGGTTTCGTTGGTGAGCCTTTGCCTGGTGTAGAGGTCAGTCTTTTCTTTTAGTTCGTACCCTTGAAGTATCACATTTAAAACTTGTGAAATACTGCCAGATACTTCTAATCATTGTGGTTTATCCATCAATGGATTTTTGAAGCAGGTTGAATATTCCTTTTATGTAATGTGTACAATTTCAGAAAGTGTGCAATGCTCCAAGTATGGTGTAATTTGATGATAATGGAACTCATAATGTGTGGTAGTTTTTACTCCAGGTATTGATTGTTGACGACGAAGGCACGGCGACAGGTGTAGGAAATCTATGCATCAGAAGTCCAGGAATGTTCAGTGAATATTGGAATTTGCCGCAGGTACACATACCTGTAATCAGGGCCTTTGCACTATGACGGTTCAGGTGGAGATTAATAATTGGGCTCCTTGCTTTAGTTAGGTTTGTTTGGTTTGATGGGCTTGAAAGTTGCTCGTATTTTGCAGGTTACTGAGAAGTCTTTCACGGAGGATGGCTTCTTCGAAACTGGAGACACGGTTACCAAAGAAGGTGGCTATTACAAAATTCTTGGACGTACGTAAATTTCTGTTCTCTTCTCTGGTCTGGCCCTGTTCATTTTGAAAAAAATTTGGAATAGTTCATCTTGCTTCAGCCTCTTACTATCAATCATTGTTGCTGTAGTTGTGACAAGTGGAATTCGGTTGTGGCAGGGACAAGCGTGGATATTATTAAGTCGGGAGGCTATAAAATCTCCTCACTTGAAATTGAAGCTGTACTCCTTCAGGTATCATAACTCTATTCAGTCAGGTTTCTTCAACTGTTCTGATTTTATGAGCACCATTCAGTTTTGATCCGTGCTATCACACAGATCCCTTGTTTGTCCGTGGCTAACTTCTTGATTGTTTTCTCAAGCATTTCTTGAAAGTTTTCTTAAGCCGAGGAATTCTCGTTGTTTTCGATGGTTAACAGACTTTTAGTCAAAGGTTTTCTGACATTGGTGATCCTATCCTTGGACATTTAAAGAAGCTGATTTTGAAGCAGATAATTCATTTACTTGTTTAATCTCAATACCCTTGGTGGCAATTTGAATAGGTTTTGTAAGGATCTGAGACAGACCTTTGTGGTTTTTGCGCAGCATCCCGTAATCGCAGAGTGTGCAATTCTTGGTGTGCCTGACAATGACTATGGGGAAATTATTTCGGCTATAATTGTTCCACACGAAGCAGCAGCTGAAGCAGCTGCTGCCAAATGGGAGCCTGTTCTTACTTTGCAAGCCTTGCGTGAATGGGCACGCCCTCTGCTAGCTTCCTATAAGGTAAACCGTTTTCATGGCTTTCTTTGCAGTTCGTGTTTGATCGCAAGTTGAATAGCCGCTTCTCCCAATGCACTCGCCAGTGTTAGTATGGATTTTGCAAAATCTCCGTGTGGAACTTCCTTGGAAGAGCTGATATATCCTTAATGTTTTGATCTGCACTACACAAGTAATTATAATAATTTTAACTCAAGAAGAATATTCTCGAAGTAATCTTTACTTTCTTAATTAGCATTTTTACGACTTTGCTTCTTGGGAACTTTTGAAGGTGCATCATTTCCACTGATATCTTGAATAACATGTATTTAGCATACATTTCAACACTCAAGAACTTTTCTGTGGCCTCATTGATGCAGATCCCTCAGCATTTGCTAGTCTGGAAATTCCTTCCACGCAATGCCATGGGCAAGGTGCGTCTCACTTCCGTCCTTAGAGCTTGATAATGCTCACCTTGTTTCAAAACCTTGAATATTGCCAAGTTTTTCATTTTGTTGTATTTTTTCCTTTTTCACTATTTTTCGGGATCGGGGGATGAAGAGTGAGATCACCAACAATTGTGGTGCCAGAAGGTTTCTCTTTTCGTACCTTAGTCTCTGTTGCATCAGTTGTTACAAACATTACCACCGTAGCTCTACCTGTGCTAGCTGTGAATTGTTAATCATCTATAATCCACTGTGCTGTTTCTTGTGCAGGTAAACAAGAAAGACTTGAGGACTTCAATTCTCAGGGGGTTGCCATAGACAAGCATTTCGAATCCCAGTTTAGGAACCTCTTGGTCGTCAAGACTGGTCAATTACTTCTCCAGTGTGTTGGTTCATATTAGCAAAGGTATGACAATCAGAGAGTAGATGCTAATCTCTCCATGTCAACGTTGACCAATCTGAGTTGATCAATTTTATGCTTGGATTTGGCTCATGCCTGAGCTGATTCATTACATCAGCTTATTACTTGGATTTGAAGCCATCTCGAGCAAACAACACTTCTTGTATCGATCCATCGTTTGTTTTTTCCACAGCATTGACGCATGGACGCATATGCTGTAACTGAACCCTCCAAACTGCTATTGAAACTTTATGATTGAAGTAAGTTGAATAATTAAATTTATCGAAAAATCATGTCTCATATTTTCAATTTCCTGAAACTTGTTATGCATGTAACAAGTGCCAAGAGATTTGATGGAATTTCTTCATACCAATTTTGTATAGTTTCGCTACAAACATCTAAAAACTTTCACTACGAAAACAGGTTAAAAAAACATGTTAAAATCATTGCATTAAAAGAGAAGAAATGAGTGAATACGTAAAATTGATTATGTAATAACTAAAATTTTATTATTTAATTTTATTGTAAATTAACTGGTTGAATTATTTTAAGATAAATGTTCTTACAGGTAAAAAAATCAACATTCTAAAGGTGGAAAATTAATATTACGGTGACCATTTCGTAAATGTTGAGGTGAACGCAGTACTGCTTGTAACTTACGGTGGGAAAATGCTTTTTCATTAAATTATAAGTTCTTCTATACATTGAATTTGTAAAACTAAACTTGTTTGAACAACAACGCAGAAGGTGAACCTCTGCCTTGGAACAACATATTCTAAAGTTTCTACTGCTGGGTATCTGATCTTGATTGCTGCAAATATGCCAGCATAGCAGGAGACGCAGCAACCACACGTCGGTTAAGATATGCTTGATTGTTAGCTTCAATGTCCTCAAGCCTGTACAAGAATATTGGAGATGATGAGTAGAAAAAATACCAAATGGTAGTAAAGACAAATTTACCAAGAATCACACAGATGTTTTCAAGTGATGAATACATTTCAAACTGCATGAGTTTCAACGTCCATCTGGTATTTGAGAATTGATCAATGCCTGTATCGGTAATTAACCATAAGACCTGCACTCGCGGCAAGTCCTTTGGATGAAGTGTCTCCCATCCAGTTAAGTTGTTCCACACTCTACAGCACATATTCCAGACAATTAGTTGAAGTTCTATCTCAAGAGGGGCAACATGTGAGAACAAAATCAAACCATCCTGAAACAATTATTACTTTGGAAGAACAGCATCGATATGATGGAGTCAGTATAAAACATACTGCTCCATTTCGGACATGAAAATTAGTTACAGGATCTAATGCAGCTCCCCGCTTCTTTTCCTGAAGTATGTACCTGAGACATCATTGAAACAAACCATGTTCAAAACGGAAGTGTGTAATTAATTGTAATTTTGTTTAGAATTCAAAAGTGAAAAATGCTAAAGTCTTACCGAGCACACAATCGCAAAAGAGGAGGACGCAGAGCTTCTAACAGCTTCTCTGAGCTGGCCCATTCATGTTCCGCAGACGACAGAACATCATACATAAATTCCACTGGACCTTTCGAATTTCCCTCATCCCTGTGAGGTTCAACTTCATTAACTTCTGCTGCAAGAATGACATTTCTTCGTAGTTTGCTGTCATATTAAACAAACCATACACCCGGCAAGGTCTAAAGGAAATCTTCCAAATAGATGAATTATTGATACTGAGTTCATGGTAAAACAAACCTGCAAGCCTCCAGCTTTACTTCTTCTTCTGGAAAGAGCAATTTTTCACTCAGTTTGCTATTTGCAGACTTATCCCCAGATTTCTGAACATGGCACTGAGTTGCCAATTTTGCAAGCAACCAATGCATGAAGCCTGGAATAGGACTAAGAGTTACAAAATTCTGCAAAAAAGGTGATTGTGCATCAGAAGTCGTAAGGTTTCAACTGAAGTTCAATAACATGAAATCGCCAAACTGTTAATTCAGTCGAGAATCGCTGGCTATAATTTAAGACAATGGCTTAGTTCTGATGGCCATCACGACCTTCACTTCCTATCAATCTTAAGTTCTATTGCTTGCATCTTCAAATGTACAATTCTGATGATTTTGCTCGATACGAGTAGCGCAAAGTTCGAGTAAAAATAATGAATACCTGAACTTCAGGCATTTCTTGCCGAAGTAGATGTACAACACGCTTTATCAGAAAGTTTCCCAGCTCAATGCCTTTTAGTCCTGGCTGCCCTGGGCAAACACGTAGTTCTATTACGTTCACTCTTTAAACATGAGCTGACATTTAAAGATACAATACTTCTGGATTATAGAAGCGCAACAACTTTTGAACGCTACCAATTCATGATACTTTTCAGATTAAATTAAAGGTGTTTCTGAGACGATGAAGTAGAGCAGCACCTGGGTACTAGTTATTGAATAAAAGAGTGCACAATCTGCCACAGCTTCATCACAAGGAGGTTCTCCAAAAAGAACTTTCTGCACAGCAACAACGTCCAACATCACATTTAACTGATTCAAACCTTATTGATCAGTTTAACGAAATTTTTCACTAGGATAATGTGAAAAGGCACGATTTCTCTCAGGATCACGGATGTATACCTGAGCTGACCCTTCAATACCCTTCGTCAAAGCAACTTCAATGAAGACCAGCGGTTCACCTGTGGAAAATACTAAATATCAGACACTAAGAGGGATCAATTAGCGAGATGCTGTTACTGCATCTAAAACCATGCCAGTGAAAACACATGCAGAAAATAGTACGGGTGAATCGTCAGATATGTCTACCAGGCATGGCAGGATGGAAGTAGCCAAAACATCTCCTTCCAGTTCCCAGGCGCCGCTTCAAATCGTAGAGATTGGTGATAGGATGTACAGCCTTCAAACCAAAATTCAAAATATCAAAAGCTTTTCATGCAAAGATGAGATACCGAAATAATTTAGCTTTGACCATTCAAGAAGATCTTTGAATTTATTCGTCCTACATAATCTACAGAAACATTTTGAGTGTCAAGCAGATAACTTGTCGGAACACTATGACTGAATCTTAGACAAAGATTCAAGATTTAATAAGAACCTCGTAAGTGACTATCTTCTCTAGTAGGCAGGCAGCGTCATTCCAAGTGATGCGATGCAACTCAAGGCATGCTGGACTAAGCCATGTTGCAAAGAGGCCCTGCAAGTCACTGTCCAGTGCTCTAAGTGATGCGAGGTTGTTCTTCCTGTTTTGAGAGCATCTCACAACCAACAGATGTTCGTTATTGTGCAGCTTGTAGAGAACAGTGCAACCTTCAATAAAACAAGATGAACATTACTGATGGTTTAATGCCGTAGAATAAACCATACAGCAGCGCGGTCTTCAGGTCCGCACGAAGATCCACTAGAAACTTGAGGCCACCAACTTGTCCATTCATCTGCTCAAACAATCGTGACGATAATGGCACAAGGGCAGCTCGTAAATCTCGCTCAGTACGATAATGAGCAGCATCTATACCGCTATCACTTGTTTTGTCCTCGATTGTTTCTTCAGTATTGCCAACTACCATCAAATACCACAATCAATTTTCATTCTAATGCATGCATCTGAGAAGAGATAATACTACGAACCATTATACCAGTCATAGCGTAGAGTTTCTCACACAGTGACACTGGAACTGGGCTAGAGCGCAAATTAATATAGACAAGGAGGCTGATGATTTTAATACCAAGAGATAAATCCTTAAGAATCTTACCAGAATTCAAGGTCATGTAGTGCTGCATAAGCCCTTTCAACCTTTTTCGATCCACTCCAAACTGGGTCCCTAGCACAATCAAAGCTCTTTGACGATAATCCATATTCAACATCAAATAATCCTGGGGAGTCAGAAGATAAGAACAAATGAGCCGTGCTCTTGTGCATTAGTTAAGCACTGTCAAAATGACTCATGTCACACAAACCTCAAAGTATGCCTCTGAATTACCTCTCGCAGCTGACGCAGAGTTGCGTTTGGTAGGCTTGAATTTCTCATGTGAACGGCTTCATGCATGAGCATGCTTACTTTCTTAAGGAGCCTGCATGAGGAAGTGGGCTCATATAAGCATCCTAAACCCTAAACCCTTAACCCTCAATTCCGATCAAGTAATGATAATAGCACAGGCAAGAATCGACAGCAAGTCTTGTTTCCTCAACGCACATGACCTTCTATTCTAAATGTCATCACACAAACGAAACACAAGTGTGTGAATCACGGAAGCAAGTAGAAGAGTCTCAAAGAACCTATGAGTGTGTAAAGTCGTGGACATTAAGTTATCTTGGCGAATTTCATACCAAAAGCCTCGGTAATTAGACTGAATCCATGTACTCTGACCAGGTATAACGCAGTGAAAGCCAATGAAAAATGCCCTTCGTTTCTCTAAGATACAACTACTTTCAGAGAGGACTATCCCGAGATGAAGAGTAAAGTGCAAACCAAAACCCCTACAATCGTCACCCAAAAATGTGAAGATAGATCTGAAAATTCTAACCACTTTGTGATCACCTAAGCGCCATAATGCACACAGTTCCCTGATAATATACTGCATTAGGTTGTGTTAATTCCGATAAATAAAATAAATAAAATTTCTAATAAGTCCATTAACGTACAGCAGATTTAACACGGTTCCTATAATTGAAATAAGCCAAATTCATATAACAGGAGTTCATATACCAGCTGTAGTTGGACAACACAATTGCCTCTCAATAATGCCTAAAAATGTTGAAACTCGTGAAGATGAGAAGTTTACCTCTCAGAATGTCTGGGATCCAGCATAGCAGGTGCAGAATTTGAAGGTGGTTCCACTGAACCCTGACCAAATTGCGCCATGAATGGCTGCTTCCCAAGCTCACTTTTCTGGTATCTCCAAAAACCAACCGCAAGTCAAATTCAATTCGCATGGCCATCACCTACAGACAAAGTATTTCCTAAAAATTCGTAACTGCCCATCAGAAATCACAGAGCTCAAATCGAAACCCACGCCATCAACACAGCCCTAACACTCATCACCATGTGCGCAAGCAATTCACACGGGAAACCAGAGACTCTTGTCCGAAAACCAACAAGGAACACCCTTTCAAGCAAGGACTGACATTGGGCGCAGCTCCAGAAGCTCCTGCAGCAGTGGCCGTGGCTCGGAATCGACCTCCACCGAGACGGATCCTCATTATACCTCTCATCGCAACCCTTTGATCGATTGCCTGCAAGCTCCCTCACGACACGAAATGGCGAAATGGCGGAAATGAATTAGGAAACAAATCATCGACTACGTGGAAGGTCAGTTACAGTAACCCACAATCGAGTCCACAGAAGAAAAAAAAACATGCGAAATTTGTCGCCGGGTATCGAAGCACGACCACCCTGGGAATGGCGGGAAGTTGAGTTTGCAATAGGGCAATGGAACCCCTCTTTGCGGATGGAATTGGAAGACCCGCCCAGGTATCGACTCCAGGGTCAGGGCTCTGCATGTTTACCGGGTATAAACACTTCGATATCCGTCATAGAGTTATCCTCTTGGGGAGTTATATGTCTCCTGTGAGGGAGTATTTGGAAGGGCCACCTGGGTACCACCGGGCTGGATACCCGAAATACTGGATACTATACACCGGGGATATAAGGAATATTGGATACTGACGACATTGGATACTTGGGAAATCAAGGAGAATGGATATTTGTAACACATGTCTAGATTTTTATTTATATTTATCTATTTATTTATTTATTTATTTATTTTGATTTATTGTTTATAGGTGCAAGAATTTTTTGTATTCCTACTTAGATTGGTGGTTCAAGGATGATAATGGTTCAAGAAAAGATGCAATATTTCACAACATTGTTTTGTGGGTAAGATAAGCAAACATAGAAACTAATAGCAAAGTCAATGTTCTTTGTTGAGTTCAAATGTGGGATCTTCAAGATATTAGGAATCACCATTATCAAGCTTAAGAGAGCCTCTTTGCATGAGTTTACATTACAAAATATAGGGTTATTTAGTTAGGAAGAGCTTTGTTTAGACTCCACTTGTCATAGATGATAATCTATAGAACAATATTTATCTATGAGTATATGTAATGTGAAACAATTTTTGCTATTGCCCCCAAACTATATATATATATATATATATATATATATATTCTTTTAATTAAATATAAAATGAGTAGTATTTTTAATTTTAAAAAAATTAACAAGTTAGTAAAAAAAACAAAGTATTCTGTTTTTTTTTTTTTTTTTTTTTTTTTTTTAAATTGATATATACCATATATTATATATTTAATCAATGGTTTGAACAAAAAATAATGGTGGTGTCAAAGTTTGTTGTTTTTCTATTTTTTTCTTTCTTTTTTTTTATTAAAAAAATCTTAAACCTAAATTTGAAAATTATATGTTAATGTGTGTTTGTATAAATATATTCAATAATATTAGTTATTTAAAAAAAAATCTTAAATTATTAATCGAAATCTGTAGTTGTACTAAAATTGCACAAAAATTAATAATACGTTTTGCTTCCAACAAAAATTTGAGCTTTAACTTAAAAATAAATCCAGGCTTCGGATTAAATTAAATTAAAAAATCAAAAACTGAGATTTGTTAAATACAAAATAATTATTTTAAGAAATATATGTGATTTAATTATTTGTTTCTATTAATTATTTACACTTTTACCACGTTTAAGCTTTACAAGATTGTATGAAGAATCATTTTAAGAATTTTAAAATGTGACACATATAAAGTATTTAAGTGGTAAATAATTTTATAAATATTGTGTGTATATAATTATTTAATTATTGAATCGCATATTATTAAAGATGGTTTATATTATGAATTTATGATAAATCGGTTATAAAAAATCACACCTATATAATTGATTGATAATTAATAAATAAATCATTTATATAAAAATTATAGTTTTTTTTTATTACTTTTTTTTTATAATTTTTTTAAAAAAATATTACGACATTGTAATAAAGAAATTATTTGTATTAGGTTTTTACGATAAACATATCATTTGAATTTGTATTATTTTTATTCTATAATATTAAAAGTATGTATTGAATATAGTTTTTAAATTGAGGTAATTTTTTTGCATTCAAAAAGAACTTAAAAATATATAATTAAACTTATACATAGTATAAAAAGTATAGGATTAAAATTTATATTTTTTGAAAGTAGTTTTAAATTTTCTAAAGATCTATCATTTAATTCCACAGTAAGTAGCAAATATTTTTGATAACTAGTATTTTTTGGTTTAATTAATAAATAACTATAGACTATTTATTTTATTTTTATTTTTTAAATAAAATTAAAACCTATAAATAATAAAATATATTTTATTAAAAATAAAAAATAGTAAAATTAAATATATAAGTTATTTAAAACTCATTGAGAATTTGAAATAATAAAAATTATGTAAAATTATTAAAATATTTTTTGAAATGATTTTTTGAAATATATATATATATATATATATATATATATATATTTATATATTAGCAAGACATCACCCATATGTTAATAAGGCATCATCCTTCACTATTGACAATCTTTACATATATAAGTACATAAAGATTTATTTTATTTTATTTTATTTATCAATTATAAAATTTATTCATTGATTCCATCAGCTCTACCTATTTCACTCTTATTTCTAATTTTTATTGCTAATATCATCTATTGGAGCTAGATTTTATACACCAATATCATTAGCTTGATTTTGCATATTTGTTAGTAAAGCTCTACAACTAAGGAATGTATAGACATTCTAGTTAGCAACTTAAATACAACCTCTACATTTTTTTTACAATAGATTATTCTTCTAAATGCTAAAGAGTCTTAATAAACTAAATTTCTAAAGTATTTTTTATAAGTGTGGATTTGTGATATATTAAAGATTTTTTGAAGAATATTAAAATCCAATGTAATTATTGCTTGCTATAGGTTAACTTGTTGGTAAAAAATAGTTTTTGTATATTTTTAGACTTTTATTAAAAAACCCTTAGAGGTTTATATTTTCAATTTTTAGTTGTATTTTTTCAATAGAATTGGAAACAACAAATATGAATTTGCGTAGCCACTAATGTTGGTAAAAGTTTGTTACCTCAAGCTTTTGTGTCTCCTTATCAATTTGTGTAAGGACATAAATATAAGATATGCCAAATATTTTGATAACATATTTGTGTAGCAATCCATGTAGTTAAGAAAAATATAATTTATGGTATTTTTTATGTACTTGTTGAAATATTTTAGTAGTTAAAATTTTGTAATTTAATAGAAAAATGCATAATAAAGAAGAAACATTGATCATACTTGATTCAATTCAAAATAAGACATTTTAAGTAGTACCTCATTCCAAGATAGATTCATTCCTTGTTTGATCAAGATATTCTCTTGGTTGTACTGATTTATCCTCTCAAGCATTACACTTTTACTAGACCATTAGATACAAGTTTGTACATTTGGATGAAACTCATATATAAAAAGGTATTAAAAGTGTAGATATTAATGTATTCAAAGGCATTAACGATTTTGACTAACATATTCTATATATGTCATATATATATATATATATACACACATACACATACTTATATCAATTAAAGAGGAATTGAGCTCCACTTATCTTTGTTTTGAAGTTGTCAACATTTTAGGCCTGGTGCTGAAATGAGCACCCATGTCATGATTATCCACTTGTGGATTACAAATGAGGGACAAAAGAGATAAGAATAAGTTTAGGATATTGTTATTTTCATCACATTTTTTTCTACTATCAGCACAATCTGATTTTCTACATCCCCACATATTACCACACTTTTTGCTATTGCTGCCACAACTTGTCATCCACTCAACATATATTTTTTGTTTTATTTTATTTTGGTTAATTTTTTATTAATATTTTATGGAAAAGAAACTAATTTCAACAAAAAATAATTAAAAAATTAATAAGAATAAATTAACGTGGCAGCAACAAAAACTAAGGTGACAGCAACAAAAACTGTGGTGGTAGTAGCACAGACTGTTGTGACCCTAACTTTATGTCTAGCAAACATGTGGTCAACGGTTTAATAGTTGTAGATGGGGGACGCTGACTAATCAACTGAAAACCTTAGCAGCGGCAGAACAGCAGGAATGCGATGTTTTATCACTCCGTAAAGCTGCAAAAGTATAAAACTTTCATGTCCAAAGAAGATGAAGATGAAGCATACTCTTTGTTGCGTGGTGTTAATAGTATGGGATCCAACAACCGTCTTTCATGACCAATGCGGAACTCTAGACCCGGATTCGCTTACACAATAGTGGCAGTCGCACAAATTCCCTTCACATCAGCTTTCAATTAGACCACCTTCTTGTATTTCAATCACGGAACTGCGTCTGAGAATAGATTAGTGCTAATCCACTGCCAACATATTAGATAAGAATCTGGAGCTCAGTACATGATTCGGGTTGGATAGTGGCAGCGGAGTAGTTGAAAGGACAATGTCCAGGAACCATCCCGAACAAAACAGTGGAAGAGAGATCGTTGGGTAGTTGAAACCTGCTCCTGTTGAAGGAAACGTTCTGGTTTCGAATTGCTGGTGTTGTTGGTGGCAGTGATAACCCATCCGCATGAATCTTGGTCACGGTAAACGGGGCATCGGAAATTTCTTGAAGCATACTGGGGTGCAGTGCGGGTCTACATTCAAGGATGGGAAGTGCAACAGTCAGTGACCATGGCCGGTATGGGTTCAGTTCTCTCACAGGGTTGAAAGCATTGGATTGAGCTCTGTAGAAGCTTAGAGCATCGACGACCATGCTAACTCTGCGAGATTACTTCCAGATTCGTTCAGATGCTCTGAATTTATTGTAGTTTGTTGTGGCCTTCAGGTGGTGGAGCTCGGAGACAGTTGCCGTTGTGACTGGAGGCAACAAGGGCATTGGTTTAGAGGTCGTGCGGCGACTGGCACTGGAAGGTCTCACAGTCATACTAACCGCTGGCGACAGCGGTCGTGGGTTAAAATCGACTCAATTTCTCCATGCCCAAGGATTACACAATGTTGTCTTTCAGAAGCTAGATGTAAGTGATTCTCGATCTGTGGCGGATTTCGCCGATTGGATCCAGGAAGGCTTGACATTCTAGTGAACAATGCCGCCGTCTTCCACAATAATTGCGTGTTTGAGAATGCCTTCGAGACCTTGAAGATAAATTACCGGGGCATTGTCGCTGTAATCGAGGAGCTGCTGCCGCTGTTTAGAGCGTCTCATGTGGGTGCCAGGATCGTCAACATGAGTTCCTTTGTAGGCCGGTTGATCAGCGTAAATGAGAAAATCTGAAGAAACAGCTGAACGAACCATCCCAATTCGATGAGTACTTTCTCATCGAATTAGATCGAGACTTCCTGGAAGCTTGTCGACTTGGCAACGGGGGACCTAATCGATACTCAAACACGGCTTACCAATTCTCAAAGATTCTTATAAACGCGCACTCGCGTTTCCTAGCAATAAGATTGGCAGACGAACCAGATGACCATAAAATATATGTGCACAACGCACATCCAGGGTTCCTGAGGACTGATATGCACAGAAAGCTATTTCACAAGCTAGACGATGAGATGTATCAGAAGCAGGTGACAAGCGGGACTTTCGCTCGGGATGGTGTAATTGAAGCGGAAGAAGGCGCCGATACTCCCGTGTTGCTGTGTTTGTTGTCTCCTGATGATTGTGTTCCGGTCGGGCTGATGTGGTTCAAGCGGCAACAACTGAGCTACAGTTAGCTTACATTAATTGTATGCCAAAGCATTCGCTCAAGGTTTTATTGTTCTGCCAGCATTCATTTTGATGCTATATATACGTAATTTTCACTTACAGTGTAGGTTAGGACCAGGTATGTGATCCCCTGGTTGATAGTGCAGAATGTGTGTGGTGAGGTGGCCGGAAAGGTAATCTGTAGAAACCAGTAATTCGGTTTTCTTCATAGTTTTTCACTTAAGTGTGCTCTCGTTGAAGTTGTGACCTTTCCCCATTTTCATACGTGAGGATTGAATTTCCTGGTAACTGACGACAGTTATGGCACATGTAAAGCTCTGTCGGATTTCTGAAGTGAACGGACTTTCAGTCAACAGTTACGGTGCACAGAACGATGATCTGGCCTTACAGTGACGTTCGATCGACTCAGTCGTTTCGATGATGTAGTGCAAATTATTCCCGGTGGTTCACAATTTACCTCAAACCATCCATGCATGTTTGTGGGTATAAGTTTTCATGTTAATCAAGTCTTTTTCTGAGCCCTAAAGAAGTTCTTTGCAGTGCTAAGATGCCGTGTTTACTGATTGATGAACTGCTGCATAAGAATGGCAAAACATCACTGCGTAATATTGGTAACATATCCTCGGTAAAGGTCATAAATTACATTCCAGTTGCAGGGTTTGCAACCATTGTGAAGTCCCTCACAGTAGAACCTCACATTGCTACATGGTCTTCAACATTGCTTCTTTTAAGACGCATAATATCAACTCCCACTAAAGTAAGATCGCTTTCAGTTTCTTGAACTTGCTGCTGTACAATCTAGTGACATGAAAGTAGAGGAAACCCGGTGGATATCATTCTGGTGGGTACAACTGAAGCTGAAGACTTGAACGAAGCTTGAACAGTTGCTATACATCTGCTTTCTGGAATCCAAAATAATCGCAAAGTATAGCAACAATTTAAGCTCAGTCCTGATAGGTATTTTCAAACACTTATTTTAGGACTGAAATGAATTCGGAGCGCTGGATCCTACACTTCCGCTGAAGTAAGAAGCAGAGCCATCGGAAGGCTGTCTTGACCCATATGGGCTCGTGTAGTAAGAGGTTGCTGAGGGTGCCATTGAGCAATTTGAAGGTCTAGGACTGAAAAGCATGTCCCCCTGGCCAAGAATGGTGAGAAGTAACTGGCGTAATTTTCCAATAGTTTCATCCCTCACCACGTCTTCCAATGATCTCTTGCACTCATTCATAAACTCCAACTTGATAAATTGCATGTCCACTTCAGCTCGTGTAGTGATTATCAGAACAAGAGTCTCCTCGTCTGTCCCAATTCCTGATAATGCATCCGAGAGTTCCTAGTGCACACAAAAAAACCAGGTTTATATACAACTCGGCGACTTATTTGCATCTACACTGAATTGACATTGAGACATCTAATTTTGGGTTTCCATTGTAGTCAAATCACAATCAGTTTTCAACAAATACCTCAGCATAGAATTTGGAAGGCTGACGGAGGCTCTGAAGCGCAGCTCGTAGAGCTTGTAAAAATTCCCCGGAACCTTGCTTACTCAAAACCTGCATGTTACCAGCAATATAAAATTAGCGTGATTTCGAACTACAGTCTCTTTTTTCACAGAGGCTTGGTAAGGTCTAGGTATCTCAGTGACGATAACTTAAGACGATATTTTCAAGTGAAAAATGTAATGCAAGAAAGGGCTAACCTTTTCAAAGTCGTGGCCGTAGTGCTGTTGGTAATAGTTCATGGTGGCCGAAAGCTGGTATGAGCTACGGGTAGTGAAGATTCTTATCAGCATCTCCTCATTGCCAATTTTTCCAGTGCAGACTTTGTTCAGGTGGTGTGCATCAGATAATGCAAAATGACGATCAACTGCGGTATTTTCAGGTCGGCTTCCTCGAGCAAGGGCTAAAAGAAGCTGCATCATCAATTCAGTTACCAGTATTCAGCAGCTTTTTTCAAATTGCATAAGAGGCGTGTGAAAAACATCACCATGCGTGTTACTGAGCATATTTTCAAATTGGAGGATAATGGAGGACTGTAGAGGATACCTTAGTGATAGCAAGTACCCTCTTCGGTGGCTCCTTACTCTTCGCTTCAGAGCCCTTCCAAAATGCCCATTTGCTCTGATTCGTCCATAAACATACAACTTGAATTTCAGAAAAATTCAGATGACTTCATGAAGAACACATTTAGTTGCTCAAATTAAAACTTGAGGAGGAACACAAAAAATGGAATACCTTAGTTTGGGGCTCCAGGATGGCGAACCCAGAGCCGTCGATGTGACTCTCCAGTGTCTGATTGAACATAGTATAGTAGGCTTGCTTGATCAGGTAGATTTGCTTAGAAGTTCGTGTGCATAGCATTCCAATAATCACACGGTCTTTCTTTGGGCCTCCCTCCCTCAAAGCCTCGTTCAGAAGCACTGCGTCTCGGTCAAATGGGTCCATCATCCACAGCGTCAGACATTTCTCAAGCTTGCCACTGATCGAGGACTTGAGGCGCTTGCGCAAATCCTCGCCAAACACAAGCTTGTAAGCTTCGGAGAGACTGTCTCGTTGAGATTGATTTCTTTGGCCCAAAATTTCGATCACTTTCTTCTCGTTGCTCGAGATTCCTGTTTCAGGACCATTGAAATCAAGACTTAGTTTCAAGACCTATACCAATGTCAAATGTAATCAAAATCTAACTGAGATGCTATCTGAAAAAACGTTCACACAACTGGTTGTGGCATACCTCGGAGGGCGTTACGGAGATCCTTACAATCCTCGTGTAAGTTTGGATACGATTGCTGGACATTCGTTGTCCCCATTTTCTTTTGCTATTCAAAGTTTCGCTCGTAGGGATATAGAGTGTGAGTACATTTGCCTTTCTGCTTTAAAAATGAAAATAACAATCCTACTTTGCAACTGGGTACCCAAATGTTTAAGCCTACGTCGTTCTACCCCTTCACAAGCACATTTCCTGTTTTGACTTGTTAGAAGGATATGATGAGGATTTTCCAAAACTTGTACGCAGTTGCTAACTACCTGAACACTCAACTCGACTCCGGCCACAAAAAGCCAGAGGAACAGTGCAACATCATCACTGGGGTCTGTTAATAAAGATGGTAAGTTAACATGCTAGGAAGAGAATGTTGTATACTGAAGCTGCTGTGCAGCAAAATAATCCGCTTCAAAAATCCGGAGGACTGCAGACGGAACGGAGGAAAGAAGAAATGAGAGGAAGATGAGTTAATGTGGAGCGTACTCAGATCAGTCGCGATGACAACCACTTTTAAGAGCATCTAATCAATAGTCCTATACTCTGTCACTCGTTTCCAACTCAAGCTTCGTCAAGGTGCCTCGAGAACTGTGAAGCCAGCAGCATCTGACAATAGGGAATGGAGCACAGCATACGCCGCCCACATCCTCCGACACAGCTGCAGGCTTTGGGATGCTTTGAAGTGCTTTGTAGGGCAACAAACTACAATTGGCCAGCTGGGCACTTAGGCTTGCAGGAAAATCTATGACAATAGTCTGGACCTCAGTATCGCTCAGAGAGTACTGGGTTCGGCTTAAGTGTTTGCTATCTCAATGCCGAGAATGGGCACAGTATACAGTTTATCGGGGTTCTTTATCGAAATTTCTAAACATAGAGAGAAGCTTTAGGTCCGCTTTGTAAGGGGCACCCTCCTGATCCACCAATGACATGAAACGATATATTGCTGCTCTAAGCAAGTTGGTTTTCTCGGCACGTAATCTTCCACTGTTCTCTCCGATGTTTGCATCGGAGCATCTCCTGATCGAATCCGGTTCTAGCTTCGGATTGGCTCCGGCCTCAATCGTACAAGGCCCCCTACTAAATCTAACGACATTAACGGTGTTGCTGAGTCATTGCTTAATTTAATATATGTTCACGTGAACATGGCTTAATAAATTCCACCACCACAACAACTTAAATGAATCCAGAATAATCTCAGAAGATTGAAAGCACTGCTGCAGTAGCTGCAAGTGGGGCTTCTGGACCTCTTGCACGTGAAGGTCGGCTGCTGCCCTCGTATATGTACTTTTTACTCAGTTACTCCATTTTGTCCAAGACATTATATAACTCGTGCGGTCTGTGAAGCAGCAGGGTTTGCAGGCACCCAACCTCCAACTTGCACCTAAAATCTGGAAATAATCAGAGAAAATTTATTTTATAAACGATGACGCATTGAACTAATGCATGGGGTCTGCTTTGTATTTTGTAACAACGAGGGTCAAGTACTTATCCAAATAGACAGGCCTGGTGTAACGTCTGAAATCCTCTACCAGTCAACTGCAGCTGTAACAATTTCAATCGCTGCACTCGCCATTGCAATCCACCATCCTTGTGACATACTTGGAACTTGAGGTATTTCTTATTTTTTCTCTCCTTCCTTGGAAAAATTTCCTTAAACTTGCTATTTCCATGAGTGGTGGACTTTTGTGGATAACCCCTCTGCAGCTCTCTCACATGTGGGCTTGATTTCTTGGTTAATTGAAAATCTCCGGGTCAAGTTTTTTCTCTACATGCGGATTTTAGAGAGAGTTAATTCCAACAATGAAGTACGACAAATTTTGCCGACAATGCTTGACAGGATGATTAAAGTCCATTTCTAAGATTTGGTTTGTTTCAGCTTGATCATTCCTCCCACTCTATGTTTTTGTAAGTTATAACCACACCTAGGCAAAGGAGAAGGAAAATTCGTGATTCAACAGGGAAAATGTTTTGGTTTGTTTGATTTGTTGAAAAAAAAAACCCTCTGCATGTTGTAACTTTTTCCGAATTGACGCATTAACATGGTATCAACTGACTCCAGGCTCCAAGGTCGCTTCGTTAATACAATCACCTACGACGATTAAAGCCAGTTCTACAATGGCGGAGCAGCTCTGGTTTGCTTTCGTCCTCTTGGTCATGATTTGTAGCACTGGATGGACTGGGGTTCACAGTGCAAGACCTTTACCTGAAGAACTTCCCACTCTTCCAGAACCCACACTGGGTAAACTTCTTGCATGGCCTCAAGATCCGAGCACCACTCCAAATCTTCCATGGAATCCACCTCCGCCTCCTCTTCCCTTTCTACGGAATTCACCTCCGCCTCCTCTGACTTTTCCATGGAATACGCCTTCGCCACCGAATCCAGTCACACCATGGACCCCATGGAACACTCAGTTACCACCTCCGTCACCACTGTCAACAACTCCTTCTCTGCCGATTTCGGTAACGCCTTGGTACACTCCGTCTCCACCGCCGTCACCGCTCTCGATCACCCTAGCGCCACCGAGTATTGTTACACCATGGAACCCATGGAGCGCAATGTCACCTCCGCCTCCATCTCCGCCTACCCCAACTCTCTCACCCCCAATGTCATGGACTCAGCCATGGCAAACTCCACCTCCTCCAGTGGATTCTACCACCCCCTCCTTCCCAGGGAATAAACCTCCATCTCCACCATCGCCGATGTGGACCAATCCACTGTTCACTCCGCCTCCACCATTCGACACAACTCCAGACTCTCCTCCTCCTCCGTGGAATCGCCCATGGGTGATAACTCCATCGCCGCCGCCGTCACCCACAACATCGTCTCCTCCACCACCGTCGCTGTTTACATTGTTCGCATCCTCTCCACCGCCTCCTCCGGCGGGACAAATCTTTCCATGGACTTCGTCGCCACCCCCGCCCGTCGGTCCAATATTTCCATGGACTCCGTCTCCACCTCCTAAGGTTGGCCCCTCTCTACCCCCGTTCGGCCTCCCACCCGGTGGCCCGCTGTTACCAAGTGGCATCCAATTCACCTTCACCAACTTCACTCAAGCATGGCTACCGCAAGCCGGAGTGAAGGTAACATGGCAGTCGCTCATTACGATGGAGCTGTCACTCCAGCTCCTGGTAGAAGCAGTGGTGAAGCCCATCATGGTGCTCATCCAGCAATTCGACCCTCCACCAGGCAAAGGGCTAGGAAAGTGGGGCTGGCGAAACGTCTTGGAGGACAGCAAACTCGCAGCCAAAGTAGGTGCGACATGCACCACGTCAAATGAGAGCGGGTATCCTGAGCGAGGTATGGTGATTGTGCAAACTCCCATCAACAACACCACCAGCAACGCCGTCGCATGGTTCACCGTGCTGTTCAATGGCTGGAGCCAAACCACGCCGTTCCACGCGACGCTGGACTCGACGCCAGGGACTTTCGGTGGCTTCGTGACGGACTCCACGCTCCCGGATCTCAACACCTTTTGCTTGCACCCGTCGTCACTCGCTCGCCGCGCCAACAGGCAAGGCCTTCACTACGTCATGGGCTGATCCACGCCGCGCCGCGCGCTCCCACTGTGGGTGCTCTCTCCCTCCGCTGTTGCCATGTGAGCCACTGTGGGTGCTTTTCACAACTTGTATAAGTTGATAATAAGGCCTCATTTTAAAATGAGTTTTTAAAAGGAGAAAAATAATATATATACACATTTAATATTTTTTCAGATTTTAAAGATAAAAGCATTATCTATCAAACAAATTGAATAAAAGAACCAAAATAAATTTTTTCTATATACAAGTATTTATTTATATTTATATATATATAAAAAAAATTTGTAAGAAAAGGACCGCAAAAGAACATTCATATTAATATAGTATCATAACAATGGTTTAAAATACAAAATCTTGTTGTATGGTTATTATTATTATTATTATTATTATTATTTTATCTTATACAACACTTGAAAATATATTATCGTTTTTGTTAACAAGAATATTGTTGCTATTGTAGCAATGTTATAGGTTTATACTTTTATATTGTAAAAGTATAAAATATGAATATTACTGTCTTTTTTGTAAGTGCTGACGAAAGATTGGCATTTTTTTAAATATAGAAATTGCTCTTCATGTCATCAATCGAATGGAGTTGAGTTTTCTAAAGAGCTTATGAAAAAATTGAATTTAATACTGCAGGTTTGGTACTACACAAAAGAACTGTCTCTAATTATGCAAGGCATGTTATGCTTGTGCTTAGATTCCAATCTAAGCAAATTTAAACCTATTGTTTGAATTTTTTTTCCTCTTCGAAATTCTCTTTGTTAGTGAAAATTTCTTCTCATTCTCAGTTTTTGGAGTATTTAGTCAAGACTATATCATTTCTACTTCATAATCTTTCTATGCAAAAAAAGAAATAAAGATAAAATAAATCAATTCATTAAATAATGTTGTATAATTTCCTATGTAGCACTACACAAAATGACTATAGATACAAAAAAATCTAATTATTGTGAAAATATAATGTATGGCAACTATTAGATATCTCAATGCAAAAAATATATATAAGAATGAAAAAATTATATTCTTTTCTAACAAATTTTAGAATTCAACATTCAACTTAAATAGTTGATAATACAACAAAATCAATTTTCATTATGAGTTTAATTTTACCTATTTTCAAGACTTTTATTATTCACTAAAAATTATAAATAAGTAAAGTAGGGCAATAAATTAAAAGAAACTATAGAGATCTTAAGAATTATAAAAATATTTATTTTAAAGAAAAAAATATATTATGATTACAAATAAAAATAAGAATAAATTTTAAGCAATTTTCTTATCTAATTTGAGATAAGATTTGTAAAATACGAACTAAATAAATAGTAACACAAGTAAACAATTGAAAGAATAAAATCTTTTAAATATTATCAACTTTGTATTAGAATCAAGCATTCACATTATTCTAATTAGATTTAATATTTAGTTAAGCAGACTATACAAAATAAGAAGAAGTTATGAAAGTTAATTACATTTTCTATACAATTGGTTTCCAATTTCTTGTGCCAATTAATTAAAGTTTAATGTAGATCAATAATTGGGCAAAGAATGTTAGATACAAAAGAATGAAGTTCTCAAGTTACAATTAATACCAATTGATGTTAGTTGTAAGTTTTAAGTAACAATATCTACTTAGACTAAATTAATTAGTAATTTTTTTGATTTACATTAACTTTCATATTTTATAATTTTCCTTCTTATGTTCAAAGTTATAGAAAATTTGGCAAAATCACATTGGTAAGAAAAAAACAAACTCAACACTTATCAATGCTAAAAAAATTGCAAAAGAAGTTTAAAGGGAGACTCCAAATTAGATTCATAAAGTTACTTTGACATCAAAGAAGAGAAGTCTAAGGAGAAAAAAAATAACGTCCTATTAAAAAGCTTAAGACAATTGAAGAATAAAAATGGATAAAGTGGGTGATAAAAAGATGCCCCTTAAATATGGATCTATTAAATTAAGCTTTATTGTACTAGATGCATGTATTAGTAGTTAAGTAATTGTCACTTGTTTTTAGAAAATAGCTCAATGTGTTAGTTTTAAGATTTAGGTTATACTTTCTAATATATTTTAAATTAATCATACCACCTTGTTAGTGAGTATTAAAATAAAAGATATTAAGTGATCTTAAAAGACTACATCTAAAAGTCCATTCAATAGAATTTAGGATTTTTTTTAATTTCATTATTTTTTATACTTTAGTATTTA